GCCTGCCAGGCAGGAGCCACTCCGTGGCATCCTGAGAATCTCGGCGTCAGGTCCGCTCACACACCTCTAGAAGTAAGAGGGTGATGTGGTCACTCGTCCATGTGAGACATGGCCTTTGCCCTCGAGGAACTTAAATAGTGCTCAACAGTATTTGATTAAATACGATCATGTATTTATTCAACAAGCATCCATGCAGTTCCTTCTGGCTCCAGGAGCAGCACAGATGCCGGCGATCCGGCGAGGAGCAAGAAGGCAGCCCTGTGCCGGAGCTCACACCTGGGGGGCGGCAGAGGGAGCCTTGGACAGGAGCCGGTGTGGCCTAGGGAGGGGGTGTCGGCGTGGAGGCTGGAGAATGGGAGGGAGTGCCGGGAAGTGGGTGCAGGGGGGCGGGGGGGGCGGGCCTCTGAGCTGGGCGGGGCCGAGGGGCTTTCCAGAGGACCTTTGATCTGAGTTGGGCCTTGAGGAAGCAGAGGGGGAGGAGCAGTGATGGGGGATGGTCTTTGGGGACAGTGGGTCTCACAACTGTGTGAGGACTGAGCGGCTGAGTTTGGGTGGCTGCCCGGCATCCACACGGAAATGCCCAGGGGACACGTCCAAGATAGACATGTGCAGCTCAGGTCCAGGGAGAAGGGGGTGAGACTGTCTTCTGAAGAAGAAACTGTAGAGAAGGAAGACTGGAGGCGGAGGACAGGTGCCCAGACAGCTGGGTGGGGAAGGAGCCAGCCTGGAAGGCAGACGTTCTGAAGGTCAGAGCACAGTCTGCAGGAGGGGGAGGCGTGGTCCGAGGATGGGTCGGGAGCACGGATGAGCCCTGGGAAGGTCGGAGCTGTTCAGAACCAGAACGTGGCCTTGGTCCCCACTCCGCTCTCCGAAGTGCACCTTCTCCCCCCGGCCAGTGGCCCCAGCAGGTCTGCAGCTGCCTTCCCCTGGCTTCGCAGGAAGGACGCCCAGGTCCTCAGCCAGGGATCTGTGGTCACCCATCCCGGAAAGCAGACTAATGATGGGACGCCAGATCCGCCTTTGAGCTGCAGAGATGAAAGCGGCCACAGGCACTGGGGGTGGGCAGGCGGGGGTGAGCAGGCAGCGGCAGGCCCGCCGACAGTTTCCCACAGAAGGGCGCTCGAGGCTCCCGGGGAGCGAGTGGAGGCCTCTCCACTGGAGTGAGTGGGCCCAGGGAAACTGCTGCGCTCGGGAGGACAGGGCCTCCCGCATGGCTGACGGCAGGTCCCAGCCTCCAGCACAGCCTGCCCGGGGGCCTGTCCCCGGACCTGCCCCTGCCTCGGGCCTGTCCCCTGACCTGCCCCTGCCTCGGGCCTGTCCCCCGACCTGCCCCTGCTTCGGGCCTGTCCCCCAACCTGCCCCTGCTTTGGGCCTGTCCCCGGACCTGCCCCTGCCTTGGGCTGGGCTGGGCCATGTCCAGGGAGTGGTGAGGAGGCTCCCGAAACCAAGGTGGGGCCAACCTGATCCAGCTGCACGCCCTGCGCCTCCCACCCCCTTAACCTGGTCTACTGGCCTTACCCTCCTCTTCGAGCTGTGCCCCCCCCAAAAGGAAGATATGAGGTTGGCGGGGTGAGGCAGAGGGATGAATGGGTGAGAACGGCCACAGGGAGGCGGCTGTGGTAAGGTGTGCAGGGTCAGGTGGGCTGTTCTGAGCGATTCTCTGCTCTTCTCGGAGCCTTGGTTTCCTCGTCAGCAAAATGGAATGAGGGGTATTACAAGTCCAGCACATCTCAGAGGTTTGTCATGAACAAACCAGACAATGAGTGAACTTCCCGAACTCGCAAGGTAAGTATCGGTGGTTACCACAACCACCGCAGCCTCGACTTTCAACACGAGGTCCACGGAGTCCAGTTTGGGAGGACGCATGGAGGGCCTGGAACAGCGCGTGATGGCATCTGGGGTGAGGGTCCGTAGCCGTAAAGAGGGCTTGGACCCAACAAAGTGTAAGCCGCACCCCCAGGACAAGTCCTCACCACTTCTGAGATGAGCCAGCTGAGACCAACCCAAGCTCGTGCAGCTTGTCCGAGGCAGAGCCAGACCCGGGGCCCTGATCCCCCACCTTCCACCACTCCTGCTGCCCACCAGGTCAGGTGAGGGGAAGGAAGTCAGAGATCGGGGGGGGGTGGGGCAGCCAGAGGTGGAGCCCCTATTGGGAACATGGGTCCCTGTCCTCACTGTCACCAGGATAAGGACATCACGGCGGAGGGTGGGGACGGTGGGACAGACCGAGGAGGCCTCAGGACGGGGGAGCCTAGGAAACCCTTCCTGTGAAAGGGGCGGAGAAGCAATGGAGAACTGATCACAGTGGGGCACCAGCCGTAGTTATAAGAAATGTCGAGCATCCTTGCTCTGTGCATGGTGATTCTTTGTTCTGGTTAAGGAAAGCCCATGCTGACCTGGCTGGGAGCTGTCGGCCCTGGGAGTGTACCTCGGGAATGCCGTCCATTCTCCTCACCCGAGAGCTGCCCCTCATCGTGGAAAGACTAACAACCTTGGGGGCTTGGAGGGGTGCACTGGAGACAGCCCACATTCTCCAGCTCCCATGACTTCCCCACGCCTGTATCTGTAACGTTCTACCCACTGATGTTCCCTTTGCCCACTTCCCCACGTAATACCCAATATAAGCGGCCGGCTGTCCGGGGAGGGGCAGATTTCTTCAGGACTGCCGGAAATACTGGAATAAACGCTCACACACGATTCAACCCTGTCTCTGCTTAACTGGCTCACGTAGTGACAGGCGGCCCGGACCCATTTGTTGTGGTGTTTCGCCTGGAAGCTGAATCAGTGAGTCGTCCTCCCAGCCTCCCTTTGCCAGCAACCCTTGACCCCTTCTCTGAAAAGGACTCAGAAGAGGAAACACAACCCTCTCCCTGGCACCATCTTGAGATGACTTCTCTGGTTCTCATTTCCGCTTTTAGAAAAGTTGAAGATACCACGTCAAAGCTTTCTGGAAAACTGGGAAAGGCCACACACAAGCATAAAGTGGTCATCACCCAAAGATGTAATTTATTGAGCAACTACTGAGTGCCAGACAGGTGCTGGATGCTTTGCCTAAATGGGCACAAATGTCACCACTTCGAGAGGCCCTCCCGACCCGCTGATTAAAGTCAATGCACTAATGCACTCCTCTCCCTCACCCTCCAGTTACTCTCACACTCCCTGTTCCTTTCTGTGTGTTCTTTCCATCCCGTCTCCCCCATGGGCTACACTCTTGCCATGGGCAGGAGTCATGTCAGCACATTGACTGCTGTGTAGCCACGCTAAGCATAGTGCCTGCCATCTCGAAGTCTCTCAAATACTTGTTAAATGAGTGAATGACTAGCTCCAGTCTTCACAACAGCCTTATGAGGTAGGTATTATTATCATGCCTGGTGTACCGAAGAAGAAACCGGGGGTCAGAGAGTCAGAGAGACTTGCTTAAGGACGCAGTTTGTTATCACCAGACCTCAGCTCTGCTTCTTTCCCCTGATGGATTCGGAGGACAAGAGAACCTCTGGGCCCAGCGAAATGACTCACCCGTTGGTTCAGCCACCGTCCTGTGCTCAGCCTGCCTCAATGAGCTCTCCCAGCCTCTCGTGGCACCCCAGTAGCTCCGAGTCGTCACCCCGCAGCCGCGGAGCTGGAGGCCAGTCCAAACCGGCCTGTTTTTCTCCAGCCAAGTGAGAGCCAGCCCTTCCCACCCACTGCAGAGCAATCTACAGCTGGGAGCACACGCCCACCCCTCAAGCCGTAACGCAGCAGATAAATTAGTGCACTCTTTTATAAAACATTGTACAGGGGAAATACATACAGAAAGAGAAAGCCTGCCGGCACTGGGGTGGGGTTCGCCCTCGAACACAAGTAATCAGATCCTGCCCCATCAGGGTGCCTGCCCGCTGCTGTCCCCATACACTGGTACTGCAGCAGGTCATCACAAATCATAAAGGTCACCATCTTGCCCCCAAAGGGGACACTCCCGGCTTGCTCCCCTCGGTGGGCCACTCCCGCCCTCCCTCACCAGGCAGCTGCCTTAGCCTGGTCCCAGGAATCCAGCCCACCAAGACCTGAAGGCAGGCAGGCAGGCCGAGGAATATCATTTCCTGATGTGTTTGCTGACCACATATCACCCAAACCAGGACTGTTGTGAAAACGGAAGGGGGTCTAATTCACTGGAAAACAGGCATAAGCTGGGACTGCCCAGGTAAAGGATGAATGGCCACCCTACCGACAGGCCCCCTGCTCTGAACTGGCCCAGTCCTGCCACTCCGGACCTTCCAAACATTCCCTGTCAGCGGCAAAGATTTCAGATCGTATTTCCCATCTCTGCCACTTCCCACTCTCCAAGGCCTTGCAGCATCTTGCTTATATATTTTTAGGCCTTAATAATATTGGGGACCTGTGCTACTGGGGTTGGGAGTTGGGAATGATGCCCCCTCCAAATCACTGATAGGAACTGGCTGTCTAAGGCTTCTGGTGTTGAGCCCCAGGCTTTCTGGCTTCTTGAGCCCAATCCCCAAATCATCGCTGCCTGGGTCTAAGCAGAAAAGGAAGCCTGATTCGCAGTCTCCCACCCAAAACTTGCCAAAGCTTTTTCCCCCAAGCCTCCTAAAAGCTAAAGGCCAGAGCCAGAGAGAAATGAACCATCAAGCCCTCATCCCTGCCCTTGGGCAATAATGCAAAGCACTGTCTGGTACCTTCTCCACCTGCTGTGTAGGCACATTCCTGGTCCCACCTTCCATGCTAGGAGCCCCAGGAATCAGCTCTTGGGGTGGCAACCGGTGGACTTGTAGCTGAAGAGAGCAACCGATGGTGCCCTGCACCCCCACCCAGACAGCCCTTCCCGAGGGCCTGATGCAATCCCAGCCACCCCAAGGTGGGTTCTGGGTCAGATCGAATGCCCCACCCCTTGCTTTCAGAACCTGCTCAGTAGGCCATGCTTGTAAAACGGCTTTAAATAAGTCTTGCCAAAGCAGAGTACCAGATAGCAGAAACCCAGGCTCCAGGCCCTCAAAGGCCCTCCTCTCCTCCCTCCTCCCCTCCCCACCCAACGGCAAGCAGCCCACAGCACCCTGGGAAACAGGCCCACCCTTGATCTTCCTGGGGCCAGTGCTCCTCGGTAGCTGTCCATCCCTCTGTCTTCTGGGAACAAAGGCTCCTCTGTGTCTTGAGTCAGGCTGCCTAAGTCCGGCTTCATCCCTCCCACCCCCATGAAAAACAAGTACTGGAATCCGACCCCCTGGAGTAGAGCTGTCAGAACCCGGGGCTCAGGACGGGGCATTCCAATGGGCCCCTGAGTAGGCATAGGAGATGGGGTGGCGGGTCCCAGGCCTCACGGTGAACGTGTTGATGGGGTTTCCATAGTGGGGGGTGCTGCGGGGAGACCTGGCGGGAGCAGAAGAGAAGTAAGGTGAATCTTTGCAGCTAGTTAACCAACAGCCCTCCTAGCACCCCCAGGGCATAAGAGGAAAGGATGCAGCTCAGGGTTATGGGTTCTGCCCCACAAGCCCCGGGCTCAGCAACCCAGGTGGGCACCAGTCCACCAGTACTGGTTGGCCAGATGCAGGGCCCGGCGACCGCCCCACCCCCACCCCCACCCAGTCCAGCCCTGGTGGCCACAGAGTACTACCTAATACCTGTCTACTCAGGACCCTTCACTCGGAGCTTGGCTCTGGATCCTGTGTGGTTGGGAAATCCCCACATCTGAGGACCACTCAGATCTCCCTCCCCCCACACTTGGCCTGAGGCCCTGGGACTGGCGGTGGGGGCCTGGTGAGGGCAGCAGGATGGGGAAAGAGATTGGGGGGACGCCCCTGCAGGTAAAATGAGCCTCCCCCTGCTCTGGGCCCTGACAGCCGGAGCGGAGAACACATGTGCCCTGGTGCCCAGACCTGGCCCAGACGGCAGTGCCTGCAGTTCCCGCTCACCTGCCGGTAGCCGAGCCCAGGGCGTGGTCGCCGCCGGGCGCCTTGTACTTGGCCTCCCCGCGGGGGGCGCCCTCCAGGGACATCCTCCGTCCTCGCAGGCCGCCGGGGGCCGCTCGGCCCGCCGAGTTGACGCGACGCATCTCGGGCCCCCCGGGCTGCGGCCCGAAGCAGTTGGGGGAGCTGAGGCTGCGGCCCGTGCCGCTGCGGGGCACCCCGGGGCCCCGGTCGGGCTCCCCGACGTACAGGCGCTTCTTGATGAGCGAGCGGCCCCCGGCCGAGAAGCGCTGCAGGCCGCCGCCCCCCGAGTAGCGCTCGGCCGCCAGAAAGGGGCGCGTGTCCAGGGGCTGCCCCAAGTCTGAGAACTTGTTCCGGTGAGGGGAGCCCTGGCGGCCCAGGTACTGGAAGGCCGGGGCTGGAGGCTCAGGGTCATTGCTGAACTCTGGCGGTGGGGGGATGACCTCGAAGCTGAACTTCTCCTCCTCCCTCTTGTAGGAAGGAGAGGAAGGGGACGAGAAGGACTTGGGTGGCAGGCGACCCTGGGGGAGGCTGGAGGACGCTGACCTTTCCCAGGCCGCAGGCGCCTGGGGCGCAGCCTTGGTCCATTTGTGCCCTTGGCTTGGCTCTGGGTCCTCTGGGTCTCTGTTCCACTGGGCCTTCCACGGACTGGGCAGGGTGGGCAGCGCTGAGGTCAGCTGGGGCTCCTTCTCGGCCTCTGTGGGTAACTTGGGGACCACAGTGAAGGAGTTGGGCTGGCCCTCCTTGGGGAAGATGCTGTCAGAGCCTGCCTGGGGCTGGCCACGGAGACTCCCTGGCAGGGAGGACCGCCCCAGGCCAGCCCCTCGGGACCGCCCCTTCTGTGCCCTCTGCCTGGCTGCAAGGAGCAGGGCCATTGGGGAGCCCTGCTCCACCACCTCCCCGGTCACGGGGTGCCTGAGGAGCCCATCGGCAGGCTGGGCTGAGGCTGGGGGCCTGGCTGGCAGCCCCTGGGGCTCCTTCACCTCCGAGGCAGCCTCCTGGCTGAGGCTGTTCTGGCTGCGATGGGGCTTGTAGAGAAATGTCACATCTCCTCTACCCGGGGATCTCTTTGGTGGGAGGGCTGGAGATGAGAGGGCTCCCTGTGGAGGAGGCTCCCTGGCCTCGGAGGCGCACCGTTCTGCCTCTGGCTGGGAAGGCACTGCAAATTCTGGAACTTCTGGTTTCTTCCACTGCTCAGCTGGGGCTAGGTTCTTCCCTGCTATCGTTCGAGATGATGTGGTGGGCACAGTTGTGGCTGCAGATGGTGTGGCTGGCCCAGGCACAGCTTTGGGTGGTGTGGCTGGCCCAGGTGTGTCCTTGGGTGGTGTGGCTGGCCCAGGTGTGTCCTTGGGTGGTGTGGCTGGCCCAGGCACAGCTTTGGGTGGTGTGGCTGGCCCAGGTGTGTCCTTGGGTGGCGTGGCTGGCCCAGGCACAGCTTTGGGTGGTGTGGCTGGCCCAGGTGTGTCCTTGGGTGGTGTGGCTAGCCTAGGCACAGCTTTGGGTGGTGTGGCTGGCCCAGGTGTGTCCTTGGGTGGTGTGGCTAGCCCAGGCACAGCTTTGGGTGGTGTGGCTGGCCCAGGTGTGTCCTTGGGTGGTGTGGCTAGCCCAGGCACAGCTTTGGGTGGTGTGGCTGGCCCAGGTGTGTCCTTGGGTGGTGAGGCTGGCCCAGGCATGGCCTTGGACTGGTGTGGTGTGGTTGGCAGAGGGGTGGGAGATAGTGGCGACATATTCTTGGCCACAGGCTTAGAGAATTGGCCATTATCGGCTCTGTTTTCAAAGATTCTTCCTCCTTCTAGCCGAGGTTTAGGAGGCAGAGACCCTACGCTGGGCTTGGATTCCTTTTCTGCGGAGGAGAGCCGAGCCTCCAGCTCATTCCGGATCTGCTGGACACTGCGGGTCGGAGAGTCCTCCGGGATGTAGTCCACAGGTGGCAGGGCCAGGCTGGCGGCAGTCTCTCTCTCTGGACAGGGACTCTTCCCAGGACCCCTTGGGGGGATCTCCTTCTCCGGAAGGCTGGGGCCCTTCTTGCCTTCCTTTCCCTGAGAGGCTGCTGTTGGGCCCGGCCTGTGACTGATGGAGGGGTCCTCTCTCTTGGAGCCAAAGAGGTAGGCTGCCAGCTCGCTCCGAAGCTTTGCCATCTGACCGGGATCCCGCCAGTCCACAGGCTCTGAAGAGGCTGCGTCCTCTGGGCTGGGAGGGTTGGGTTTGGGTTTGGGGAGAGGAGAGCTGGACTTGGGGCTTTTCATAAACCTGGCAGGTGGAGGGGCCGCCTTCTCAGCAGAGGGCAGAGGAGGGGCAGCTGGGGGAAGGGGAGGTGCTGGGGGAGGGAGTGGGGGTGCTGGGGGAGGGAGTGGGGGTGCTGGGGGAGGGAGCTGGGGTGTGGGGAGGAGCAGGGGAGAGTTTGGGGGTGGAGCTTCAGTTTGTTCCTTTGTCCTGGTCTGGGACTGGCTCAGCCTCGGGCTGGCAGGCGCCACAGTCCTGGGCTCCCAGGGGCGATCGGGTTCAGGGGCCCTGTCTGGGTAGACCTGAGATGCGGGGCGGATGTGGAAGCTGGGAGGCAGTGGGGGTTGGCCGGGAGCCTTCTTGGTGGCCCCTTCTTCCTCTGGAGGAGCCCCTTGTGCTTCCTGACCCGGGATGGATGAAGTCCTGACTGGGGTTGGGGGAGGCACCTTGAATGAACGGGGGAAGGTGAGGTGGGGCTCTGGTTTAGGTCCCAGCTGGCTCCCCTTTGGCTCAGCAGGGCTCCTGGGGGGGCTGGTTCCTGGGGCCTCTGGCTGCTTGCCATTCAGTGCTACCTCTGATTTCCACTTGGTGACAGTCGCAGGGGGATAGAGGTCAGTTCTCATAGTGTGAGGAGACACTGGAGCTGGGGGTGCTGGGGCTGGCATAGGGGGTGGGGGTGGGGCTACAAAGGCCAAGGGTGGGGCTGGGGGAATGAAATCAGGAGGGGTGGGAGTGGATGGGGGGGATAGGGCCCCTGATACTGGGGGTGGGGGTGGGGCCATGCTGGGTGGGGGTGGGGGCTCCAGCAGCAGGACGGGTGGTGAGGAAGCCATGGGTAGTGGAAAAGGTGGTGAATCCCCTCGAGGTTGCGAGGTGTCTGGGGGTGGCCCTGGGGGTGGCCCTGGGGCTGGGCCTGGGGGAGGTGGGGGGATGGGTGGGTCCTGGCCATAGTGCCCAGGCCTTAGGTCTCCTACAGAGCTGTACAGTCGGAGGTTGCCATTGACTAGTGAGCTGGTCCCTGGAAGGAGGGAGAGACAAAGAGAAGGGGCATGAGGCCGACCAGTCCTGGCAACCTCGGTGTGCCCAGTGGGGTGGGCAACCCAGAAAGTAACTGGGCAGGGACATGTAACTAGAGCTTTCCTCTTGGGCACAAGTGCGGGAGCAGCAAGGTCTCCAGTCTCCTGAGTGACTCTCTTCTTTCTAGGGAAGGACACCTGCCTGGCCCTGGCCCAGCCTCTGGAGACTACTGAACACTCCCCCTTCGCTCCCAAGAGCCATGTTCCGCACTTCCCTGCCGCTCACACTGGCGACCATCCCTTACTGATCGGCCTTCAGCTACCCCCTTGGAGGGCACCGTCTGCCTCTTAAGGGGCCTTGACTGGTACCAAGCCAAAAAGACCGAGGTTCCAATCCCTGCCCTTACCCGATGTGTGGCCTTGGACACACTAATTACCCTTGCTGAGCCTCAGTTTTATCGTTTCTAAAATGGGCATCAGATCAGTGCTCACCTTCCAAAGCTGTTGTGAGGGTTAAATAAGAGAATTCACGCGAAGCCATGTAAAGGGCTTATCGCGGTGCGAGGCCAGGGCAGGCGCTTAAGGAATAGTAACCACTTTGAGCACTACCACCTGGGCTTGACATGTCGGACTGTGTAAGACAGACGGGGATGGGAAGAGGGAGTCGTGGACCAAGGCAGGGGCCTGGAGACAGTTGGGGAGCAACAATTTGTATGTGCAACTCCTGCTTTCTGAAGACCCCAATCTGCCAAGAGCCCAGCTGTCACCCCACAGAAAACTTCTGGCACACTCTGGACTATGGGATGGATGCGGGTGTGTAGAGAGAAGGCTCCAGGACGACCCGGCACTAGAGATGCAGAGCACCCCTGGACCAGCCGCTCACACCCGCCCCTTCTGATCCCAGTCCCAGCTTCTCCCTGGAGTCTGCAGACAGACAGGATTCCCTGGTTGCTTCTGTTAGGGGCACCCCTTCTTCACCTCCTCTCCTTTTTGTTTCTGGCACAGAACACAACAGACCTGGGGAATATGCAGCTCTGAAGGGCTCCTCCAGCTGCCTGACTTCACAACAAAGAACAGAAGAGAGTGGGGAGGGGAAAATTAACATTCACTGACACCCTAACACCCCGTGTTAGGAGCTGGGATACAGCAGTTAAACACACACACACACACACACACACACACACACACAAACCCACACTCTGGCCAGTTTGGCACAGCGGTTGAGCGTCGGCCTGTGGACCAGAGAGTCCCGGGTTCGGTTCCCACTAGGGCCATGTACCACAAAAAAAAAAAAAAAACCCACAAAAATTAGTCAAAATTCTAGCCCTCCTGGACATTATGTTTTTGTGTGTGTGTTCTCTATTTCTTAAAAATATGTTTTTATTGATTTTTTAGAGTGAGAGAGAGAGAAACATCAATGTGAGAGAGAAACATTGATTGGCCACCTCCTGCACGCCCCCTACTGGTGATGGAGCCCTCAACCCGGGCATGTGCCCTGATTGGGAATCGAACTGGGATCTCTCAGTCCACGGGACAACGCTCAATCCACTGAGCCACACCGGTTGGGACTGGACATTGTTTTAATGAGACAATGGGACAGATCATTAGGATTATCACCGCATTAGAGGGTGGGTAATATGAGGAAGAACCCAGGAGGGGTGCTGGAGGTGCAGCTGTGAGTAGGGTGATCAGAGAGGACCTCACTGAGAAGGTGGCATTCGAGCAAAGGGGGAAAGGGGGTGGGCATGAGTGCAGGAGCAGAGCCTCCAGGCGGAGGGAGTACCGTGCAAAGACCCTGGGGGGTGGAGACAGGCCTGGGTACTGAAGGAAGAGCGAGGGGAGTGGCTGGCTGGAGGAGTGTGAGCCGGGACAGAAAGCAGGCTGGGAGGCCAGGTGAGGCCAGATTCTGGTCGTTCTGGTGAGAACCTTTCCTTTGAGTGATGTGGAAAGTCGCTGGCAGATTTCGAGCAAGAGACATGACAAAAGGGACTTACATCCCATCCACTACTGCATTACTCCACCTGCCTGGAGCTCCTTCCCTGCGCGCATTTGAAGATACACAGGTGTCAAGGGTTAAGCGATTTGCCCAAGGGAGCAAAACTAACGTGTAGGGGACCTGGGATCAAAGCCAGGTCTGTCTGACTCCAGGTTCTTTCTCTCACTTCATGCTGCCCTGTTCCTGCTCTGGCCCCAGCCCTATACCACCCTGCCCCCCTCCCCCCCCCCCGGAAGTAGGCCTCTGCCAACCTGGCTCTCCGCAACCCCACCCACAGCAGACAGTGCCAAGAAGCCTGGGGACTTCAGTTTTATCACCAGCTGGGGAGGTGGGCCAGATATTTGGGCCTAAAGAGGAAAGAAAGATGGACAAGCCCCAAGCCCGGGGTCCTCTTACCTGTCACTTCTTTGTCTGCAAAGTCTTCTGGGACAGACGGGGTGGGCACAGCCAGTCCATGGTTCTCCTGGGCATTCTGAAAGAGCAGAGAGATCAGGCACCGAGGGAAAGCAGAGGGGTAACTCTTGGATCACTGCAGTGGCGGTGGCGGGCCCACAGCTTTGTGAGTGAACTGAAGTCCACGAGGGCTCATTGAAAGAGGCGGGTTTCATGATCCGGATGAGATTTGTTCTTATGGTCCGTAAAGACGCCTCAAGTGGGATACAGGTTGGGCTCCTGCAAACCTTGGCTACAGAAATGTCATCAGTGGATCAGTACATAACCTTGTTGTATGCGTGTTTCTGTTTAGAGACACCTTATTTATTTAATTAGTACACTGTTGATTCATTAACACTGAACTCGTGGCCGACAGCATGATAACTCATGTCTGAACGAAGCTTAGCTCACACGCGTCTATTCTCTCTGGGGCACAGAGACTTCCTGCCCTTCGGAGCCTCAGACAGCTCATCGCTATGCTTGGGGGCCATCGGGAACAGCGAGATCACTAACAACTAGCACAGAAACACAAAGCATGGCGCTAAACAGAAATGGACATCGTTTCTAGTATGAGAGCTGAAACAGAACAAGGTGTCATCTTCTCCGATCTCAGCTGGGAATGTGTGCATTAGGTGACTGAAATTTTTTTGAAACGTTTTTATTGATTTTAAAGAGCTAGGAAGGGAGAGGGAGAGAGAGAAACATTGATGAGACAGAGAAACATGGATTGGCTGCCTCCTACACCCCCCTGCTGGGCATGTGTCCTGACCGGGAATCGAACCGGTGACAGATTGGTGCATGGGACAATGCTCAACCACCTGAGCCACACCGGCCAGGGCAGGTGACTGAAATTTTCACCCTTCTACCTCTATGCATGTCCAGAGCATCTCAAATACTGATTTTAGGGTAGCAAATACATTCTAGTGAGTAAGTGAATTTCCAAATATAGAATCCACACATAATGAGAATCAACTGTGTATGAATGAGATCACAATGAAAACAAAACAGAACAAACGAGAAAGCAGCCAAGACTCCGGTGGACGGTGACACGTTCCCAGCGATGCCCGCGGCTCAGCCTCCTGCTCACTCTCGGTTTCCATCAGGGAGTTACAGGAAAACAAGTGAGTACAACGAGCCCGGAGCATTTCCACCACCACTGCAATGCCCTTTGACCGCCAGGCTTCACAGGAGGAATGTGTTTGCACAGCTGTGGGCTTGCACATACTATTTTGCATTCTACTATTTTTCTCCAACCACACATTTCCCTATGTCAACAAAGTCCTCACACCTGTCCTTTGAAGAGTGGAGTGCATGTTACGGCAGCTTTCAAGGTCCTCAGTGACCTGGCCTCACACTTACCGGCCAACTGGCATTCCCCACACACCTGTTACACCCCCTGCATGCTTGACCCACTTCTCCCACCGTCCCCCTCATATAGTTCACACTCAGCCCTGACACTGGTCAGGCTGTCACCCACTTCCCACCCTCCATTCTAACAAGCATACCCCTTGCGCTGTGCTCTAAACACATGATCCCATTCACACCAGGCTACTCGCTCGTGGGCTGATGGTGCTAACCCTCTGGGCTTAATGGCTTAATATACAAGAAGGGGGGGATCAAGGGAGATGGTTCAGAAATAACCACAAGATCCTGGGCTACCAAGGGTCATCTCAGAATTACTCTTTGGTCATCTGGGGACAACAAACACCTTCTTATTCTTAAAGGATTCTGCAGCTGGAATAGCCGAAGTCATCACCTAGTGTCTTCTTCTGCCTCTAGCTGGTGCACACGGCCACCGTACACCTGCTCTCGGCATCTCTCACACCCAGTGGTTCTGACCCAGAGGCAGGTATAGGGCCAGCCCATCCGTGCACACTCGCGTACACACACACACCACCTATGTCTAATCACATCCATTAAGTACGCACACTGATTTTGAAAAGATGGAGGCCATTTGAGAGCTCTGATTATTCATGCTTCGGACTTGCCTGCAGTGTGATGTCCGATGAGCGTGGCGAGGCGGGGTAGGGACGACGATGTTCAACTCTTATTCTGCACCTGTGTGCCAGCCCTGTGCTGGGCACTACCTGTTACCTCAGACCCCTTCACAGAGCCAGGTGCAAACCCAGGCCTCCCAACTTACCTCCCTTACAAATCACCGGGAGCCATTTTCCTCTTATAAAGTGGAGATATTTCCTACTTTGCAGGGTCATTCGGAGAATCCAATCAGATCATATTCCTAACCCAGGAAATCAGTGCTAGGTGAAGGGCTATGCCATCCAATCCTCGCCCCCACAAATAGTTCGGTGAAGGCAGGGCTGGGGGGAGTGGGGAGGAGGGGGTCAATGAGGGGAAGAAGGGAACATCTGTAATACTTTCAACAATAAAAATAAATTAAAAAAATATGCCCTGGCAGTTTTGCTCAGCGGTTAGAGCGTCAGCCTGCGGTCCAGAGAGAGCTGGTTCGGTTCCTGCTAAGGACACGTACCTCGGTTGCAGTTTGTCCCCGGCCCTGGTTGGGTCGTGCAGGTGGCAGCCACTCGACATGTCCCTTTCACATCGATGTTTCTCTCTCTCTCTCTTCCTCTCTCTCCCTTCCACTCTATCAGAACAAAAAATGGAAATATGTCCTTGGGTGAGGATAAAAAATATATATATAAATTTAAAAAATAAAATAAAATAGGAAACAAGCATTGAACAAGCGAAGCGAAGCTGCCTGCACTCCAAGAAGCACCTCTGGGGCACCCTGAGTGTTTAAGTATAATTATGGTGGAGGAGGAGGACGGACAGACTTCATGGGCCGGAGGCAATATGCTCACCCACGCTTTGATCCTAAAGACTCTGGGAAGCATTAGACTCCCAGGACCACAGGATGGAGGTCTGTCTCCTGAGCAGCCTTGGCACAGCAGCCCAGGGAGAGCCCAGGCTTGTTCAGGTCCCACATTGGGGGGTCCCAGGACATACCACCACCTCACCGCAGTGCTTGAGGAGCTGTGGCACCCCACTGTCCCCCACCCCTGGGGCAGGTCCAGCCTCCTCCTTCCAGGAGCCCCCAGGACTGAACAGAACACAGCCCCACCTCTCCAAGCCCCAGCTGGCCCCGCCTCTCCAAGCCCCAGCTGGCCCCGCCTCTCCAAGCCCCAGCTGGCCCGCTCCATCCCACTCTCGCCACACGGGCTCTGTCCCTACTTCCACTTTGTATAAGAGAAGGCAAATACAAATTCATTTTAAAATTAGTCCTAGAAAAACAGACCCAGAAGGTGAGCTCCCCTCATTCACCACAGGACACAGGCAGCTGGCATCGAGGGCACTGGTGGAGGGTGGCGTGTTTCAGGGTGCACATGCACAGGTGTAGACAGCGTCCATCCCCGTGGGTGCTGAGTTCCCTGACTTGCCCCTCAGCCTCAGAGAACCGAGGGAAAGAGGAGGGCTTGGAGGTGACACCCAAATGCAGAGCATGATCGTGGACTGGATCCCGGATGGGAGGGTATGCCGTAAGGACCTTAATGGGATGATCAGCTGTGATCGAATATATATTACGGTGTACAGTGATACCTCGGTTCTCGAACATAATTCGTTCCAGGAGGACGGTCGAGAACCAAATTGTTCGAGAACCGAAGCAATGAAACCCAATAGGAAATAATGGAAACTGGATTAATTCGTTCCAAGCCCCAGAAAATGCCTATTTACTGGCCTAATTTGTATATAATATGTAGAAAAACATAAGTCTCAACAAGAAATAAAAGTGTACAGTATGTCTAAGGGTTCAATTCAGTGTAAAGCGTGACTCTCTCCACAAAGCGTGACTCTCTCTGCACTCACACTGATGACGCGAGCAAGGCGCGCTGGGCCGAATGAACGCCATTCGGCTCAACTCGGCTCATCTCGGAAGTTCGAGTTCCAAATATTTGTTCGGATTCCGAGACAAAAGTTTCTCGAATCTCCTGGTCGAATACCGATTTGGTCGAGAACCGAGGCGTTCGAGAACCGAGGTATCACTGTATTAGGTAATAGTATCGCATCAGCATTAAGTTCCTGGATTTGATCCCTGTGCAGAGAAGCCTGTGTTCTTAGGTCGTGTACACTGAAGTATTTAGGAGTACCGGGAGTGATGTCGCAATTGACTCCAGTGGTCCGGGAAGAAACAGTGTGTACATACAGAGTGAGGGGGAGCGGAGGGAGCCCATGTGGCAAAGCGGTGGATCTGAGTGAAGGTCTAGGAAGTTCTCTGAGCTAATCTTGTAACTTTTCTGCACATTAGGACTGATTAGAGAGAAAAAGTTACTTAATGCCACTGAATCGTACATTTAAAAATGGTTAAAACGGTAAGTTTTATGTCATGTGTATCTTAACAAATTTTTTTTTTTTTTTTTTTTTTTATCCTCACCCAAGGACGTTTTTCCATTTTTTTTTGTTCAGGTAGAGTGGGAGGGAGAGAGAGGAACAGAGAGAGAGAGAGAAACATCGATGTGAAGGGACACATCGAGTGGTTGCCACCCGCACAACCGACCAGGGCCGGGGACAAACTGCAACCGAGGTACGTGCCCTTAGCGGGAACCGAACCCGGGTCTCTCAGGACCGCAGGCCGACACTCTAACCGCTGAGCCAAACCGGCCAGGGCTTAACAAATTTTTTTAAAAATTTTTTTATTGATTTTTAGAAAGAGAGGAAGAGAGCCCTGGCCGGTTTGGCTCAGCAGTTAGAGCATCGGCCCGCGGTCCAGAGAGACCCAGGTTCGGTTCCCGCTAAAGGCATGTACCTAGGTTGTGGTTTGTCCCCAACCCTGGTTGGGGCGTGTGAGTGGCAACCAGTCGATGTGTCTCTCTCACATCAATGTTTCTCTCTCTCTCTTCCCCCCTTTCTCTCTCCTGCTCTGTCTGAAGACAAATGCAGAAAAAAGAAAGAAAGAGAGGAAGGGAGAGAGAGAGAGAGAGAAACATCCATATGAGAGCAAACATTGATCGGCTGCTTCCTGCACGCCCCCTGCAGGGGATCGAGCCCACAACCCTGGCATGTGCCCCTGACCGGGAATCGAACCAG